TGTTCAGGTTTATTCTCATATTACATATTATCCTCATATTACATGTATTACATGTTATCCTCATATTACATACACTATATTACTAAAAGTATTGGGACGCCGGCCTTTACACGCACATGAACTTTAATGGCATCCCAGTCTTAGTCCGTAGGGTTCAATATTGAGTTGGCCCGCCCTCTGCCGCTATAACAGCTTCAAGTCTTCTGGGAAGGCGTCCGCAAGGTTTAGGAGTGTGTCTATGGGAATGTTTGACCATTTGTGAGGTCAGGTACTGATGTTGGACGAGAAGGCCGGGCTTGCAGTCTCCGCTCTAATTCATCCCAAAGGTGTTCTCCACCCAGTCAGGCCAGTCAAGTTCCTCCAACCCAAACTCGCTCATCCATGTCTTTATGGACCTTGCTTTGTGCACTGGTGCGCAGTCATGTTGGAACAGGAAGGGGCCATCCCACAAACTGTTCCCACAAAGTTGGGAGCATGAAATTGTCCAAAATGTCTTGGTATGCTGATGTCTTAAGAGTTCCCTTCACGGGAACTAAGGGGCCAAGCCCAACCCCTAAAAGACAACCCCACACCATAATCCCCCTCTCCACCAAACTTTACACTTGGCACAATGCAGTCAGGCAAGTACCGTTCTTCTGGCAAGTGCCAAACCCAGACACGTCCATCGGCTTGCCAGACAGAGAAGCGTGATTTGTCACTCCAGAGAACACGTCTCCACTTCTCTAGAGTCCAGTGGCGGCGTGCTTTACACCACGGCATCCGACGCTTTGCATTGCACTCGGTGATGTATGGCTTGGATGCAGCTGCTCGGCCATGGAAACCCATTCCATGAAGCTCTCTACGCACTGTTGTTGTGCCAATCTGAAGGCCACACCAAGTTTGGAGGTCTGTAGCTATTGACTCTGCAGACAGTTGGCGACTTCCGCGCACTGTGCGCTTCAGCATGCGCTGATCCCGCTCTGTCATTTTACGTGGCCTACCACTTTGTGGCTGAGTTGCTGTTGTTCCCAGTTGCTTCCACTTTGTTATAATACCAGTAACAGGTTACCGCGGAATATTTAGTAGCAAGGAAATTTCACGGAACACCTGAATCCAACGATTTGGAGGGGGAGGGGCCCAATACTTTAGGCAATATAGTGTATATTACATATTATCCTCATATTACATGTTATCCTCATATTACGCATATTGCATGTTATCCTCATATTACACGTTATCCACATATTACATATATTGCATATTATCCTCATATTACATGTTATCCACATATTACATGTTATCCACATATTACATGTTATCCTCATATTACATATATTGCATATTATCCTCATATTGCTTATATTACATATTATCCTCATATTACATGTTATCCACATATTGCATATATTACATGTTATCCTCATATTACATATATTACATGTTATCCTCTTTTACATGTTATCCTCATATTACATATATTACATATTATCCTCATATTATATATATATTACATGTGATCCTCAGATTACATATATTACATATTATCTGATATTACATGTGATCCTCATATTACATATTATCCTCATATTACATATATTACATATTATCCTCATATTACATGTTATCCACATATTACATATATTACATATTACCCTCATATTACATATATTACATATAACATATTATCGGCATATAACATATACTGTATTACATGTTATGCTCATTACATTTATTACATATTATCACCATATTATTTATATGTATGACATATTATCCCATATTACATGTTATCCCCATATTGTATATGTTACATGTTATCCTCATATTTCATATATTGCATACTATTCCTATAATATATATTACTTATTATACCCATATTATTATTATTATTATTATTATACAGGATGTATATAGCGCCAACAGTTTGCGCAGCGCTTTACTATATACAGAAGACATTACACTCACAATACAATGAAAGACAAGATGGTAAGGAGGACCCTGCCTGTGAGAGCTTACAATCTAAAATATTACATATTATCCTCATAATACATACAGTAAATTACATGTTATATTACATATATTACATGCTATAGCCAAAGCAGGTCACTGCTCTCTCACGGAGCCTGCCTTCTGAACTACAACGTAACTACAACGTACAACGTAACCTCTGAACAATGTAACATTACCATTGCTTGCTAGAAGCAATGCATGATTGGTTATGTAGTCTTGAAAAATGGAGATTGCGTCACATCTTTAGGGAAAGAGACGCAAAGCACACTGGAAGTCCAGGAAGTAGATGGAGGTGATGGACAGACGGAAGGCGGCACTCACTACATAAAAGGGATTTTTCAAGTGAGGTTTGGTCGCATTATCAAAACAAACTCCAGTATGTATTCCTATTACAATGCTGATGTTATAACAGGAGAGGATGTGCTGGGACTTTACAACTCCTTTAAGGAGATTCTACAGAGATTGTACACCCTCACACTTCCACTATGGCCCTGTTTATTCAGTGATAACTTTGTCATTACTTAAAGTACAAATGTCATTATTTTCTATGCAATAAATAGACAAAAAAACTAAAACAAAACTAAAACAAAAATTTGTTTTTTTCTGCTTTGATTAGTGTCTGAAAATACATTTTTTTTTACTGTAGACAGGATACATTTTATTCCATTGCTAATGACTCTAAAATAATGATTCTGGTACAAAATGTTGCAAGGTTTACAAATGAAAGAAAAAAAATTTGGCCTCAATTTTGCTATTTTTTTTTTTATCTGAAGAAAATATACCCAGAAATTAGGCAGATAGAAATCTAAAATAAATAATGGTTGAAAAAAAAAATCAGCAGAAAATTAATAGATAAAGGAGGGAGGTGATATTTAGGGCTGCTTAGGGATAATTAAGGGTTAATAGGGGTTAAAGTAGGAACACATTATGTATTTATTTATTTTGTTATTTATGACGTGTGGGTTGCTTTAACTGACATCATATGCAGATCGAAGTTCACAATCTGCAGATGAATGGAACAGAGTTGTTACAATGTAACAATATTGTTATATTGTATCTTTGAATCACTCTTCTGAATAGTGTACACCAGCTTTACTCAACCTTCTTTCGGTCACGTCACCTTTTGGAATTATGCAAAATCTCGAGGCACCCCAGCCTAAAATGTAAAAACCCTAAATGTAAAAATGCAGAATCCAGATAGGGGTATGGTATGGATTGTAAGGGGCGATCCCTTCACATTGGAGCCCCCCAATTTACATTCAGAGTCCCCCTTTGCATCAGGGGCCACACATAATAACAGAAGCGCCCCCCATTCACATTAGAGCCCCCCCCCTTTAAATTGGAACCCTACCCTTTCACACCAGAGTTCCCCTTTGCATCAGGAGCCCCTATCTTTCACATCAGTCCCCCCTCACACTAGGAACCCCCTTTAAATTAGAGACTGCTTCTTTCACATCAGAGTCCCCTCTTTTATATCAGGAGCCCCTTCACATCTGAAGCCTGCCTTCACCATGGAAAGGCATGACGCTGAGTGAATATGTTGAGGCACCCCTGAGGAAGCCGGAAGGCACCCTGGATGCGAAAGGCTGGTGTACACAAACACTGTTCAGAAGTTCCGTTTTGACAGCAGCAGCGTCAATCACTGCAGTGCACAGCAAGTCTCAGTTGTCATTCTGACAGCCGGGAATTGCCAGCAAATGTGGCTGGGGGAGCAGTAACAGCAGGAGAGGGAACAGACGTGCTGTCTACGCCCTGTTTACTTTGATGATGTTTTTATCTTGCTATGAGCTTTGCTGTTACAGACATTTCATGCCTATAGTCAACAACTGATTTATGTAATCTTCCCCATTCCCTACATACTGTGTGCAAAACAGGATTCCTCTTTCTCGTTTTAGAAAGTTGGAAGGTATTCTCCCTATGTCATTACATATGACAGCTGTCAACCTAAAACAGATTCTATTGGGTGGTAGCAGAAGAAAGTGTGAATGTTTTATGAACTTCATGCGCTGCTCTTATATTTGAGATGTCACCCTTCCCTTGACAAATTAATCCAGTTAAATGTGCTGACAGTCTGCCTTACAAACGCTAATCCCATTAACTAATAATATACCGCTGCTAGATAGATAGATAGATAGATAGATAGATAGATAGATAGATAGATAGATAGATAGATAGATAGATAGATAGATGGAAAGTCAAAACAAGATTGTACAAAGATTGTGATTTTGACAAATTCAACCAACACCTCAACCAACAATCTTGTTTTGACTTTCCAAATACATGTAATGTAAGAACCTGTCTTAAAGGGACACAACTCAGGAGTTTAATCTTAAAAATACATTCAAGTACCCTAACTTTTAACAACAATGTATCTTATTTGTGTATCATTCGGCTGTAGATCCTCCAATCATCTCTGAATTGGTGCTGACACTGTCCTTCCTTCTGGAGCGGGGGTACTTGTGTTCCCCATGGTGCCTGTGTGTGTTGTTAAAGCGGAACTTTACACTCAAAAATCAAATTCTACCATTGCATCTCTCTATGTATGATGATTAATAACATAGACATGTAAAATGCTGTGATTATGAAATACATACACTTGCAGAGCATTCACTTCCTGCTTTGAAAGGGCAAAATGTCTTTGCCCTTAGTAAACATGGCCACTGTCAGGAGACTTGGGAAGAAAAGAAAAATAAGGTATGCAAAGAAAAAAATTAAATACCATCAAAAGAAAGCTCTATCTGTCCAAAAAATTATATAAAATTCATTTTGTTACTGCGTTGCATGACTGAATACATGTCAAAGTCCCTCAGTGTTGAATACTGGAAAATGGCCGGGACAGGAAGAGGGTTTAACACCCCGAGTTTCAAGTGGTTAAACAATCATTTTTGCATATTCATAGGCCATAAAAGGAGGCGTGGCCAGGGTGTGTCTACTGTCATCATACTTTGTGCTAGAATGTGTCCCTCTCTTTTGGGAGGTTCGGTGTTATATTATGTTTTTTCTTTTACTAGATTTTCCTGGAAGACCTCTGAGTGGACAGACTGTCTGGTATCTCTGCTCACTATCCAGGACAACGTTCCCTTAGAGGAGGACCATGTTCAGTGCGGAGGCGGCATTCAGACCCGCAAAGCGTTTTGTGCACAAACGGTTACAGAATCTGGAGCACATGGACAAATAGAAGGTCAGTGTTTTAAATTGAATTTCAAGTAGTTCTTCCTTGTTATCTGTAGGAAGCCAAATAATTTTAAATAACCTCTCTGAGTATAGCAAACTTAACATAACTGTTTTTACTATCCCATGTAAATTTTATGGTAGTAGCTCTCCTCTCCACTCCAGTAGAATATAAATGATCCGGCATCCTGTCTGCCATATTCATGGATAAGGGAAACATTTCAGAGGTGCTGGGAAGTTTTATCATCTTCATGCATAAAGCTGCCAATAAACCAGTAGAATTCTGTTTAAAAAATATATATATTTTTGTGATGTTCATTTGATTTTCTTAGTTAATGGAGTCAAATCAAAGAACATGTTGGCAAAAAAAAAAAAAGAAATCGAAGGAGCAGGAGGGAAAATATTTCTGGGACATATGAAATTCTAACAGTGAGACTTTAAAATTGAATGTTAAAAGCAAACGAAATTTCGAACGGCATTTATCAAGTTCTGCACTTGGGAGCTAAGAACATGTGCGCAGAGTACACATTGGGAGGGGTTTCCGCTGGGGAATTCAGAGATAGAGAAGGATCTAGGGGTACGTGCAGACCAGAGACTCAGCAACAGCATGAAATGACAACCTGCAGCCAACAATACCTGTACACTTTTGTATAGTTTGACACTCGTATAGCTTGAAGCAGATCTACCTTAAAGTGACACTAAACTCAGGAGTTTAATCCTACAAATGCATCCAAGTACTCTAACTATTAACAATAATGGATCTTATTTGGGTATCACTCGGCTGTAGATGCTCAAATCATCTCTGAATTGGGGCTAACACTGTCCTTCCTTCTGGAGGGGGGCTACTTTTGTTCCCCATGGTCCCTATGTGTGTTGTAAAGTAGTCACCACTCCCGTGATGGACTACAATCTCAATACAAATGAGCTAACTTAATGTGAGATTGTAGTCCATCACGGAGCGATCTCAGAGCAGTGGATACTTTACAACACACACAATATAGGTTGCACCTGATGGACTTGTGTTTTAATTCAACCTCACCTACTAACTATGTAAGTTTCTGATGGCAGCCAAGACCTACCGGTAATCAAGATTGTAAGGTCTCTTGAGCAGAGCCCATCCTTACCATCCTGTCTTGATTTGTATTGTAACTGTAATGTTTTCCTTATATTGTAAAGTGCTGTGCAAACGTTTGGCGCTATATCCTGTATAATAATAATAATGGACTGACAAGTGAGGGGGCTTCTAGATAGATGACACTGACAAGTGTAAAGAAGGTCTGCAGTGTTCCATCAGTGCACAAAGTGGCAGACTTGAATGCGTCAATCTGCTGCCATTCGCCGTAAATCACTTCATACCATTTCTCTTCGAGGATGTTGCTGTCCAATCTCAGTCTGAAAAGAAAAAAATCAGCATTATAGTTCTAGTTCTGGAAAATCATTACATTCTGTGTAACTGCGAGGCTGAGAAAATCAAAAGCTTTAATGCACTGTGAAGAGTATTTGCAATTAATTCTTTTAATGTTTTTTACTAGATGCTTTCCATTAAAGTGTAACTGTGACTGTGCACAAAAATCCATACTCGTCCCCCTGATCAAAATGTAAAATATAAGTATAGACATCGGCAGGTCCTCATTGCTGCCCGGGGATCAGGTAGAATTTACAGCCTGTAGCGTTGCTGTTGGCGTCTTCTGGATAGTTGCACATGATCTGACCTACAGAATAATGATTGTATCCACTTGTTAGATTTGTGTCACTTCAAATGTTAAGATTCTACAATAAACACATAGACCCTTTTGACACCTGAGCATCTTGTGTAATGTTTCCCAAAACGCGACAACACTCTACATGAAGCGCCCCATCATTTTCAATGGTGCTCGTTCACACCTGAGCGTATTGTCTCGTGGTTCCCGAAATGCAACAACGCTCAACAGGAAGAGTCCCATTATTTTCAATGGTGTCAGTTCACACCTGAGCATTTTGTCTAATGTTTCCCGAAATGCGACAACCCTCAACATGAGGTGTCCCATTATTTTGATTGGTGCTCGTTCACACCTGAGTGTCTTTCCTCATGTCTCCCGAAATGCAACAATGCTCAACATGAAGAGTCCCCTTATTTTCAATGGTTCCCATTCACACCTGAGTGGCTTGTCTTGTGTTTCCCAAAAGGCATCAACACTCAGCATTAAGAGTTCTATTACCTTCAAATGTGCCAGTTCACGCCTGAGTGTCTTGTCTTGTGTTTCACAAAGCGTGACAACACTAAACATGAAGTTGTTAGTGTTGTCACACTTCATGTTCATTATTTTCAGTGGGCCGCCTGTTGCTTGTACCTTGAACAAGTACAGGATCAGGATTTGAGGCAGAATATAGCATTTTTGGTCCTGTAGACTTCAATGGGAGCGCCTGAAAAGCATCCATAATGCACTTTTTTGTGTGATTTTATTCCTAACAACCGTCTTCCCTTCCTAGTATCTAGCTTTATATTGGCCATAACAAAAATGCTTAAAGGGGAACTCCAGGAATTTAAAAGTTAACCCTTGCAGTGGGGCTACCCCCCACACTGCAAGGCTTAACTGCTTGTTTTTCTCTGGGGGCTCAAATAAAACAAAATAAATAAAAAAAAAATATATATATATATACACTCACCTGATCCTCAATCCAACCTGGCTGCTAGACTGGTCCCAACAGCCTCTTCTCCCCTGGGCTTTGGCAGAGGACTGTGAGGGACAAGCCAAAGCGGAGGGGGAGAGAGGTGAGCACTCACTGCTACAGGACCAAGGGACAGGTGAGCATATCTTCTTTATTCAGCCCCTAGAGAAAAATTAGCAGTTAACCCTTGCAGTGTAGGGGTAGCCCCACAAGGGTTATCTTTTTCATACCTGGTGTTCTTGCCCGAAATACATTCAGCTCAATTGTGAATGGAGAAGCTGCAATCTTTCTGTTTTGGTTTATAATACACTGTATATTGAAAACTCCTTGCATTCTCAGAACTCTAAAATCATCCTTGATCCAGAGGAAGGAGAAAAAAAAACTTTTAGAATGAGGGGTCCAATTTGACTAGTTTGGAAGAAAGGTCGTGTTTTGGGGATCCAACCCCAATGACTGCATGTGCGTTGTATCCTGTGACTCATTAACAAATAAAATTAGTAGAGGAGGTTAACTGTCCAGGATCTTTAAAACAGGTCCATCTGGGGCTTATGGGTCATCGCTTTTTAAAGTATGTTTAAACCTAAGAAGAAAAAGTCATATTGTAGTTCACCAGTCCTTAGATGTGGCGACTGCGTTAGCTTTAGGATAAGTACATTTTCTGCAAGTACGGAAAAGTACCGGTTGATCCTGACAGAAATGCATTGCGTTTGTATCTTCTTGTGAATTGAAATATTAAACAATGTTATCATTCTTACAAGCTTTCAGCGCTGCAGTTTTTGCCTACACTCGCCTCTTTGTACCATCATCACTTCACAGCAGTCTTCTGGATCCAGAGTAACTGATCATGCCACACACTCAGTGACATGGACACCCAACAAAATATCTTCCTCCTCTGCAGTAAAATATATAAAAGACGCACGACCCGATTGTGGAATGTATTTATTTTTTTCTCAGTGATGTTGCAAAGGGTGAGAGCCTGGAGTTCATTAAGCTTTAAATGGTATTATGGGTAAGGATGCATCATTGTCTAATATATGGTTCATTGTTCTATTCCTTACAATTTGCATTCAATAAAGTGATTTATTATTAGCAATGCAGCAATTGTTCTTGTTTATGGAATCTGGGTAGACAACGATTGTTTTTGGTTCTAAGCCAGCACGCAGTGGTGGTGCAGTTTATTTAGCATAGAACAATATCAATATGCTCTTATAAGGCTCTGTAGACTTTCTATAGCTGATCCTTTCATGTATTGTTTCCACAAACTTTTAAAGTGACACTAAACTCAGGAGTTAAAGCTTAAAATGCATTCAGGTACCTTAACTATTAACATAAATGTATCTTATCTGTGTATCACTCGGCTGTAGTTTCACAAATGATCTTCGAATGGGTGCTGACGCTGTCCTTCCTTCTGGAGGGGGGGCTACTTTTGTTCTCATGGTCCCTGTATGTGTTGTAAAGTAGTCACCACTCCAAGCTCACTCCTTTGATGGACTACAATCTCAATAAAAATTAGTAAACTAAACATGAGATTGTAGTCCATCACAGGAGTAAGCTTGGAGTGGTGTAATATGCCAGAAAGTATATAGTAGACTAGGGATCCACGGAGGACTGGAAACCTTTGGCATGGGGGACAAACACAACCAACTAACCCTTTTAATGGTAGGGACTGATTGCCATGGGCTAAAGAGAAAATGTGACATGGTGTTGCATTGTTTGGTGATCATGGGGAAAGATGGGTGTTACTTAAGGATTTTATTGCAAAATGTCTTCAAATTTTATAGCATACGCTTCCTTTGAAGCTCCAGCCATTCAGTCACATGGCATCTCAAACCTGCAGAGGAAGTTAAATTTGGAAGACTTCAATCTGTTGTTAGGTGCTGTGACTGCTGGAGAGGGGAATTGAGAGCTACCCACCATGCCTATGATGTCTAAATGATGCAGTGTCTCTACTCAGGGCCACCAGCCCAGCATATCTTATAAGTAATGGCTTGGGGTAAATGCACCTCTGCTCCAAAACCCTGCCCTTCACTGCTAGGGGTAAAAGGAAAAAAAAGTAGCAAGGGGGAAATGGTTAGAAGGAAGGTGTGCAGAAGCATAGAGATAGACAATGTCGTTATTGGCTTTGTTGTCCATCTGTAACATTGCCATCTGTATAGAAGGATGTAGTCTTCTTTTCCTTCTCAGTATAGGTAATTAAGAGGTCCAAGGGGTGACTGCCCTCTACAATGCCTGATTACCGGCCCGGATCGCATACAAGGCAATCCGGGCTGGCTGGATCAGGCATTGTAGAGGGCAGCCTGCTGGGGACCTGCCGAGGAGCTATATACATATAGCTAGCTATACATAGATAGCTATATATAG